TCCACCATCCTCCTGTCCTAACTATTCTCCTACCCTCACTATTCTCCCATCCCCACCATACTCCTGTCCTTATCATTTTTCCACTCTCATTATGCTCTTGTCATGACCATTCCACCATCCTCCTGTCCTAACTATTCTCCTACCCTCACTATTCTCCCATCCCCACCATACTCCTGTCCTTATCATTTTTCCACTCTCATTATGCTCTTGTCATCACCATTCCACCATCCTCCTGTCCTAACTATTCTCCTACCTTCACTATTCCCCCACCTTCACTATACTCATGTCACCAATGTTATATTCCTGTCATCATTCTTCCACACTCACCAATATCTGTTGAAAATTCCTTAGAACTAGGCAGCAAAACACAGTTGTTATTTCAGACACTCTGACACCGGTCACCACGCTTGGCATATTATAGTTTTCAGGCCTCCTTCTAGCAGTTGATATTGTTGGGGACTCAGAGTAGATAATCTCTCTAATTATAAACACAAAGAGTTCCAGGAGTAAAAATAGTCTGCAATGAGTGGAGGGAGCCATTTAAGGAGCTCGGAGCTGCTTTGCCTGGCACCCAGCGGTTCTGGCTCTGTGAAGAGTCATCCATCGGAGCCTCGAGGCTGATGGCATGAAAGGCCCCACTTTGCCTCTTGGCATTGAATGACTATGACTGAACCCTGCCAGGATCCTGGCCACATCTGACAGCTGCTTCCTCCTTCTTCAAGATAAAACTTAGAGGAACTCCGACTTGTCTGAGGGGAAAGTTTCTGAGTCGTGAGGAATCTGAAAAGAGATCAGCAAGGATCCACCACTAACAGGAATTTGTGAATTTAGTGAAATGTATTATTTTTGTTCAAAAGAGCCTGGAAAGCATTGCACCAGTGATCAGTAGATTGCTAATGCTATGTAGGTCTCCTGCAGACCTGTCAGAATATCTGCTTACCGTACAGGATGTACAGTCAAGCAGATGTACTGACAGGAAGCTTCAATAAACTTGTTCATTAAAAACTACAAGCCGACAGCCGGTAAGGCTGTCAGGATTTGTAGGCACTCATTCACAGAACACTGTGTTATGAGTGACGCGGCCGTGTGGGCGGAGCCCTGCATGGCCAAGATGTTTTCAAATCTGACAGGTAGTAATGGGGAACTTCTCAAACAAACCAAAAACAACAGAAAATTTTGAAAAAAAAAAGTTTTTTTCTTAGTTTCTGTTATAAAATGTTGTAAATGAGTAATTTTTCACCTTCACTGATGTGCGCTAATGAGGCTGCACTGATGGGCACTGATAGGCGGCACTGATGCGGCACTGATGAGGAGGCACTGGTAGGTGGCACTGATGGGCATTAAAAGGCACCACTTGTGGACATTGACAGACATCGCTGATGGGCACTGAAAGGCAGTACTGACTAGCACTCATAGGCGGCACTGACAGGCACTGATAGTTGGCACTGAAAGGCAGCTCAGTCGGGTACTGATATGTGGCATTGATGTGCACTGATGGGCCCCACCAGATGGCATTGATGGGCACTGACAAGTGGCATTGATGGACACTCTCAGGTGACACTGATGGGGCTACACTGATCATCAGTGCCCTTATGATCAGTGTAGATGTCCCCTCTGAGGAATGCCGATTACCAGCTCTCCTCTCTTCACGAGCTGTCATCATGACAGCTCGTGAGGAGAGGAATGCGCATTTCCTTATTTACATGCGATCAGCTGTGATTGGACAAAGCTGATCACATGTCATCTGCTCTTTCTGCTGATTGGTGATCCTCTGTGTCCCAGGGACACTGCACACCCCCGGTGGTGCGCACACGCAGTTAGAGTGGGAGGCCGTCATATGATGTCCTCCCAGAACGAGAGAACCGCTGCTCACCCGTCATTTCCTTATATGGCGGGCGGGAGGGGCTGTTGGGAGGCTTTTAGGTTAATCCACCATTACTTCCTGCTGTGTTCTGGAATTTGGTATTTGGGATGGAAAAAAGACTAGACGGAAGTACTTCAGCAGCTGACCTCATTAACACACACCCTGCACCTGCCCCCAACCTCCAGGAGATTGCTCCCACTCCCCTCTGCAGATACTGCTTTTTCACTGCGGGCAATGTCAGCTCTGTTCTCACTAAATACACAACCAAGGTCTTTCTCATTTTATACTTTTCCTTCTTCTTGCACAGATTGCTCATTTGGCAGAGTGTGCAGGGGCTGAGCAACAACAGCCTATGTGGAGCAGAGCTGAGGTCTTGAAAACAAGAGAAGTGTGCCCCTGTCTGTAAAGCTCACCATACACTATACAATCCTTTAGATCTACCATCAACTGTAATGCAAGGGCCTGATTGGATGAGTGGATAGAGGAGTGTGTCCTCTGGTTATATTGTAAATATATGGAGATTAAACAATCAGATTGTATAGTGTATGGTATAGTATATACACCTAAAATGAATTAGTTGCGCTTTCAGAGCCATTAATTGTTAATTGCACCCCACACGCAGAGGCAAACTCACATTTTCCCATGTGAAAAAAACTAGTGACAGACACAGCTAAACACACAGTAAAAAACGTGCAGACTCCAACACATCAAAATGTCCTATGAGCTTCTTTGTCCCATATATGGCAGCCCAATGAAATCAATGGGCTTCCCTATGCAAGTGGCAGGAAAAATTAGCTGAAGCTTGATTGGGGCCTGAAAGTGAAATTGGTGTGTTTACACAAGCACAGTAAGGCTCCATTCACATCTTTGCGTTTCCAAACACATGGCAAACTGCACAAAAAACGGTACAAACACGCATCACACTTGCATTGCCATTAAATAATAATGGCGCCCCAAGTGCGGGTAGCAGGCTAGTGTCTGCCTGCGACAAACGCGCTGCATGTGCACCAAAAAGCATGGTAAAAAAACATGCTCCACTCTGAAAAGTTCTGGAGGTTCTTTAGGGTATTTGTCACACACAGGGCAGCCCATTCAAGTGAATAAGCTGCCCTATGCGTGACAAGTGGAAATGCTCCAAAAAGCAAAAAAAAAAAAAATGCGAGAATGCGACATCTGATTGTCTCCAACCACTTCCTCCTGTGTACTTGTATAAAGATGGTCGTATACTATACAATCTGATTGTACAATCTCTGTATAATTTCCTGTGTAGTTACCAAAACTATGAAATAAGAGGACCCACCTGAACAATCTATTCAATTTGTATAAAATCAGACAGGCCCTTGCACTACATAGCTGATGATTAATCTACAGGAGATTGTACAATAAAATTGTAGTGCGTTTGGTCACCTTAAGGGCTGGTTCACACTACGTGCGTTCCTAAGCATTTTTCTTTTTCTGCATCTAAAACACACAGAAAGTAGGTTACATGGTTGTCAATAGTATGGTTCACACCAGTGCTTGCAGTTCCAGTGTGTTCCAATTCCAGAAAAACTGGAAACCAAATGACCCCATAAAAAAACATTGCAGAAACACATCCAGACTGCGTTTCTGTGGTGTGAACTGGCCCTAAGGAAAGATTTAGGAAACTGGACAGTGTAGTGGTTTTTGTGTACAAGGTAAATGAGAGATGAGCACATTTGGGGTGGCTTGAGCAGAAAATACAAAAGAAAACGCTTCTATTTTATATGAAAACGTGAAATTCTGCCTGAGAAGATGAAAAACTTTTTGATGGTTTGTTGTTTTTACCTTGAAAAATGAAGCATTGTTACACTATAGCTTCTTTCCATCTACAACTGGAGCGACCTTTGGTGTATATGACACAAATGCGCAAATAAATTGTGCTTCCGGTGAGTGCGCAATTTACCTGTGGTTCTGCATAACGCCGGACTATATATACTACGGGGATCTTATCAAGCCTTCTTCTATTCATTTGTGGCTTTTTTTGATCACTGAACTTTTATCGGACCATTATTGTATTGTTTATTTTGCAATTTTATTGTTAGTTTATATAGAGTAGTGGAGGCGTGTGTGGTACACGCCTACACTGCATTTTTATTGGGAAGGTCACACACATCATATGTGGCCTATACCGTTTGCTAAGATCTAAAGAACTTTGCACCATACATACTGGTGCAACCATACGTTTATATCACTTTTTAGCGCTGCACTATTTGTTATGTTTTGTCAGTTTTAAGGTTTTAAGGTCTTCCTTTTTAGTGTATCAGCTGCTGTATCTGTTAGCGCTCACTGAACTTCTCCATCATTATAGTTACACTATAGGCTTTTTTGTGTGTTTTTCACTGTTACTTGGTTTCTCTTAACATATAAAGGATCGTTCACACCATGGTACAGAGACATCAATTTTTCTGCACGTGTTCTGCAAGGTCACAATCAAATCAATTATTCTTTACGTACCCTGTTCACACCACAACACCAATATCATGTGCAGATTTTGTTTCTGCGCAGGAATCTGCAACGTGTATAAAACTAATTGATGTGTGCATGAAAACTGATGTAAACTGCTGTCTCTTCAAGTAAAATCTGTGTGTCAGTTACCATCAGTTTTTCTGCACATATGATGTTAATGAGGCCTAACAGTGAAACACCAAAAAATAAGTAATAAACAAAAAAAATGTATACTATCCCCTTCCATCTTTAAAGTAGCTGTATTGACCCAATTTTTTTTCTCATTGTCTAAAAGAAATTATATATATATATATATATATATATATTGAGTTGGCCCACCCTTTGCAGCTATAACAGCTTCAACTCTTCTGGGAAGGCTGCCCACAAGGTTTAGGAGTGTGTCTATAGGAATGTTTGACCATTCTTCCAGAAACGCATTTGTGAGGTCAGGCACTGATGTCAGACGAGAAGGCCTGGCTCAAAGTCTCCGCTCTAATTCATCCAAAAGGTGTTCTATCAGGTTGAGTTCAGCACACTGTGCAGACCAATCAAGTTCCTCCACCCCAAACTCGCTCATCCATGTCTTTATGGACCTTGCTTTATACATTGGTGAGTAGTTATGCTGGAACAGGAAGGGGCCATCCCCAAACTGTTCCCATAAAGTTGGGAGCATGAAATTGTCCAAAATGTCTTGGTATGCTGACGCCTTAAGAGCTCCCTTCACTGCAAATAAGGTCCAAGCCCAACCCCTAAAAAACAACCCCACACCATAGTCCCCCCCCCCCACCAAACTTTACACTTGGCACAATGCAGTAAGGCAAGTATTGTTCTCCTGGCAACCGCCAAACCCAGACACGTCCATCGGATTGCCAAAAAAGCGTGATTCATCACTCCAGAGAACTTGCCTCCACTGCTCTAGAGTCCATTGGCGGTGTGCTTTACAACACTGCATCCGAAGCTTTGCATTGCACTTGGTGATATACGACTTGTATGCAGCTGCCCGGCCATGGAAACCCATTCCATGAAGCTCTCTACACACTGTTGTTGTGCTAATCTGAAGGTCACATGAAGTTTGGAGGTCTTTAGCTATTGACTCTGTAGACAGTTGGCGACTTCTGCGCACTGTGTGCTTCAGCATGCACTGACCCCGCTCTATCATTTTCCGTGGCCTACCACTTCGTGGCTGAGTTGTTGTTCCCGGTTGCTTTCACTTTTTTATAATACCACTAATAGTTGACAGTGGAATATTTTGTAGCAAGGAAATTTCACGGATGGACTTATTACACAGGTGGCAACCTATCACGGTACCATGCTTGAATTCATTGAGCTCCTGAGAGCGACCCATTCTTTCACAAATGTTTGTAGAAGCAGTCTGCATGCCTAGGTGCTTGATTTTATACACTGTGGCCATGGATGTGATTGGAACATCTGAATCCAATGATTTGGAGGGGTATCCCAATGCTTTTGGAAATAGAGTGTGTGTGTATATACAGTGTATATATATATATATATATATATATATACACACATATACAGGTGAAACTCGAAAAATTTGAATATCGTGCAAAAGTTCATTTATTTCAGTAATGCAACTTAAAAGGTGAAACTAATATATGAGATAGACTCAATACATGCAAAGCAAGATAGTTCAAGCCGTGATTTGTCATAATTGTGATGATTATGGCTTACAGCTCATGAAAACCCCAAATCCACAATCTCAGAAAATTAGAATATTACATGCAATCAATAAAACAAGGATTGTACATAGAACAATATCGGACCTCTGAAAAGTATAAGCATGCATATGTACTCAATACTTGGTTTGGGCCCCTTTTGCAGCAATTTCTGCCTCAATGCGGCGTGGCATGGAAGCTATCAGCCTGTGGCACTGCTGAGGTGTTATGGACCAGGATGCTATAATTGTGGCCTTCAGCTCTTCTGCATTGTTCGGTCTCATGTCTCTCATCTTTCTCTTGGCAATGCCCCATAGATTCTCTATGGGGTTCAGGTCAGGCGAGTTTGCCGGCCAATCAAGCACAGTAATCCCACGGTCATTGAACCAGGTTTTGGTGCTTTTGGCAGTGTGGGCAGGTGCCAAGTCCTGCTGGAAAATGAAGTCAGCATCCCCATAAAGCTCGTCTGTGGAAGGAAGCATGAAGTGCTCCAAAATCTCCTGGTAGACGGCTGCGTTGACCCTGGACTTAATGAAGCACAGTGGACCAACACAAGCAGATGACATGGCTCCCCAAATCAACACAGACTGTGGAAACTTCACACTGGACTTCAATCATCTTGCAGTGTGTGCCTCTCCATTCTTCCTTCATACTCTGGGTCCTTGGTTTCCAAATGAGATGCAAAAGTTGCTCTCTTTAGAAAAGAGGACTTTGGACCACTGAGCAACAGACCAGGTCTGTTTTTCTTTAGCCCAGGTAAGACGCTTCTGATATTGTTTGTTGTTCAGGAGCGGCTTGACAAGAGGAATACGACATTTGAAGCCCATGTCCAGGATCCGTCTGTGTGTGGTGACTCTTGATGCACTGACTCCAGCCTCAGTCCACTCCTTGTGAAAGTCCCCAACATTTTTGAATGGCCTTTTCCTGGCAATCCTCTCCAGGCTGTGGTCATCCCTGCTGCATGGAATGAACAAGTTGGCGACATATTGCAACATCTATCTTTTTTACATTCTTCAAGAACAACCTCTGTTAGAGCCTGGATGCTAGATGGAGAGTGATACTCAACTTGTCTTCTTAGAATTCTCCATAGGTGTTCAATTAGGTTCAGATCAGGAGACATACATGGCCACTGAATCATTTTCACCCTGTTCTTCATCTGAAATGCAACAGTGGCCTTAGTAGTGTGTTTTTTTGATCATTGTCATATTGGAAAAATGCAGGACGACCAAGGGCACGGAGTGATGGTAGCATCTTCTCTTTCAATATAGAGCAGTACATCTGTGAATTCATGATACATGAATGAAATTATGCTCCCCGGCACCAGCAGCACCCATGCAGCCCCACAGAAAGACACTGCCAACACCATGTTTCACTGTAAGCACCATGCATTTTTCTCCTCCTCCTCACCTTTGCGAAACCATAGTTTTGAAGCCATCCATTCCAAAAACATTTATCTTGGTCTCATCACTCCAGAGTACAGAGTCCTAGTAGTCTTCTTATTTTTCAGCATAAGCCCTGGTAAATTCTAGGTTTTTTTTGTGCATGGGCTTTAGGAGAGACTTCCTTTGTGAATAACATCCATGCATGCCATTCCTCTGCAGTGTAAGCCATATTGTGTCCTGTGAAGCAATCACCCCAGTTTGACTTTCTACTAATTTAGCTCACGGCAGAGAACTTGCATGGCGATTTTCTTCAACCCTTCTCTTCAGAAGATGCTCCTGAAGAGCCTCGAGGTGTTAACTGCCATGGACAGTCTGGACGTCTCTGTGAGATGGTTGCAGTTCCATCTTTGTTAAATGTCTTTATCACTTTTGCTACAGTATTCTGACTGAAAAGTAAAGCTGTGCTAATCTTCTTGTAGCCTTCACCTTTCTTTTGTAATGAAATTATTTTTTCTCTGGGCTTGTGACATTTCTCTTCCATGTGGTACCATTGTTGACAGCATGAAATGGGAAGGGGTTTTCTTTAAGTAATGCCTTTTTATAATCAACTGTCTGCTGGAAACCTGTTTATCGAATAATTAGACTCACCTGTAGTTGAATTCATGTTGATTAGAATTTTGTTGTCTAAAATGTTACTTTTCTGCTAAGACTTTCATTGGGATGTATTCATTTTTGCAACATTGTCTTTAATGAATTTGTTAGGAAAAATCCTTCTGTTTTTTGCAAATTAACAAATCTTGCAATCAATGGCCCACAATTGTGGGAGTATTTTGTAGTATAGTGTCCCATAGAAAATATTGATTCTGAAAGAAAAGTAAAGGTTTACTGACAAATCTGTTGGGGTGTACTAATTTATGCTGAGCACTGTGTGTATATATATATATATATATATATATATATATATAATATATATATATATATAATAAAACTACTCATTAGGGATTGCTGATGAATTGGGTCCCCCTATAGTACTGCAGTCCTCCACACAATGTACGTTTCGAGTCAGAAATCAGCCATGAGCTATTGTTTTGTATTTTATTGAGAGGATTTAACTGGGATAGTGTAAGGGGGTATAGGATACCCAAGAGAGCTGATACCTGAGAACAAACTTCCTGGGACTATTTACATGTTTCTCTGCTGCAACCCAGCTCTTGTGGAGAGCTAGCTAACGTCTCTTTGTTTTACCACCCCAGAGCCTAGACCCTAGACTTTTCCTGAGCAGAGGATCTGGATCCTGTCCCTTTAAGTGAGGTGAACAGTCACTAATAGGGTGATAATCTGGTTTCTCACCAGAGTGCTTCTTCCCCTTTCTGCCCAGGAGGTGCAGGTGTACTCACTCAGATCCTCTCCGCTACTGCTTTCGGGATGGCTGCTGCTACCAGACCTATCAGCCGGACTGCTCCTTCCCTGCCATATAGGTGGTCCTCGGCCAGGGGGCCAGTGAGCTCCAAGTTTTCAGCCTCTCCAGCTCCAGGCTTAAAGGCAGGCCTTATCCTACTAGGCCTCCTGGCAGCCTTCCTCCTCCAGCCTCACACATCTTCCTCCAGCTCTCTACACCTCTCCCACCACCCCTCTCCTGCTACTGAGTAGTCTCCAACACGTTTAAGAGAGTCCCAGAGCCTTGCCAAGCCTTCTGTTGGGGATTGGCTGAGGTCCCTCAAGAGCGCAGCCAGCGACTCCTCAGATCCACCTACTGCCTCAAAAGCTCTCCTACGAAAGCCTCAGGGCAGGGGGAAATTCCAGAGGGCCTGGCCTGCAGAGTCTCTCAGCCCTGACCACAATTTGACCCCTCTGGCTATCATACCTGAGCTGCTAACTAGCTCCTGACAAACCATTGGGACCTAGATCCCCCTAGCTGTACTAGGAGGGTGTAACATTCACCCCCCCCTCCACTAAAAAAACAGCCATGTCAAAAAGAGAACCAAAAACGCTTCTAAGCTCAGGAGAAGGGGCATCCTATACCAAAAAAATGGGAGGGGAGAAGGGTACAATAACTGGGGGGGGGGGGGATAAAGTATGTACACATAATACAAAATATATACACATCCTGGCTGATGCTAACTAAACTAGTAGCCGGAACAATACATGTAGTACCATAACTGTATAGATGAACCAACATTAGCATAGGGATGAAGTGCTTCCCCCTAGAAGGAGGCCCTTCGTCAGCAACAGGGATTCTTTGTTCTTCAAGGCAAAGGGAGACAGCTGTCCTGAGACCTGCAAACAGTAAACAAAGCAACAAAAAGAACAACCATTTAAGAACAGCACAGTCCTAGCTCTGACTGACTGTCTATGGCTAGGCTATAAGGCACAATAGCAAACAAAAATGAGAATCACATTTGTTTGGGATTTTTTTTTTCTCTGAGTCCTTGTTTAAAGAGGAGCCCTCCAAAGCAACATGAAAGGAATGCAGTCAGCCTATATGCAAAAAAAATTAACCCAGACTCCAGCATATCAGAGATAAAAAAGAACACATAGTCCGGCATAGTCCTTAAGGAAGAAAAACAAACAGCCTACTGGACTCAGTTCTTAATAGTACTGCCAGGGACTGGGCTATCTTATTATGGAGCCATTTGGTCTCTGGGTGACCACTGAGTAGCTGCAGCTTGGCTGATCCTTCACAACTACCACCTGGTATGTGTGAATGGCTTGGCCTTTGCTCCATTCTCTTTTTATGTCCTGAAATCGGGCCCAGGCTCCTTCCAAGTGAGGCCCTCTTATGTGTTTGGAGACATGCATATGGTCCCAGATCAAGTACTCCTCCCATTGTGTTCAGGATTCCTCAACCAGGTCCATAATGTCATGAGGGACATGGGGTAATCCATCCCCCACTGTACAGCTACTCTTCTCTATCTCCCATTGCAGACAGGAGAAGCAGGGCAGGTTTCTCTTGTCCCCCAACCCAAGGTGTTTGCAGTATTGCGGTGAACAGATGACCCGTTCCTGCACATCAGTATCTCTGGCCCTGGCCCTAGGCCAGGGTGAAGCAAAAGAATTAGATGGTGGGGCATGGGAAGAAATCCTGACAGGCCTTGAATGACAGGATCATCCAGCAGAGTCTAGAGTGTATGGGAGTTCTGATGGTCCCATCAGTGAATCCAGCTCTACTGTGGTATCTTCCCAGTCCCATTCCTCCTCTGTTTCCTCTGAGGACCATCCCTGCTGCTCAGTCTCCAGGGGCCCGAACCACGTAAGCAGTCTGGGCGACTCCCAATCTACCTCCCCTTCACTAACACTCTCCATCCATCGGCTCACCTGAGAAC